CGGGCCGTCAGCTCATTTTTTTTTTTTTTTCGAGAGCTGACTCTGCGTGCTTGCCCCCAAGCAGACAGCAAACAAACTATGTGTATCCCCACCCGTAAAGTAACGAGGGCAGGGAGGAACACACAGCCTGAATGCTGCCTGCCCTCGTCTTAGGTGAATGGTTTTGTCTTGTTTTTAGATTCGTGACAGACAACACTAAATAAGACTCACAAACAGATATCAGACTGACACACACACAGAGCGCTTGCTGAATGACAAAAAGCTGACGCTGGTCTCACCGCACGTGCTTTTATAGCCTCCTGGTCATTACGTCACCCGCCCGTGACGTCTCGCCCATCTATTGGTCTGATTACACACAAGGTTCAGAGCCGGTCACGCTGAAGGGCGTTCCCCTAGCGTTTTCCGACGCAGCTCGAGTTCCTGAAGAGGAACAACTAATTTTGATAAAACAGCCTTTAAAGATATATTGTAATTGAAATCTAAGTAGATAAATTGTAACAACACAAACACTCAAATGTGTGTTTTGGATGTTTTCTTTTCACTAGTCTGAAAGAAGACAAGTTATGGAAGCAAAATTGCCCAAAATCGACCAGTGCCTGAATAAACAATGGTTTTGCCTGTAGTGTCTTCTTTCATTATTTAGTGTTTTTATTAAACAGTTTTCATTAATGCAGTTGAATTAATGTTTTATCCTTTTTGAAACATTTGGCTCTGGCAGCAAGTCAAAGCTGTGCTGACTCTCAGTAGATTAGTTAACACTAATTTCCCACAGACAGACAGTGTGGGTATTGCTTAATGGCTCATGCAGGACCAATGTTCTCAAACTCTCTCCACTAGAATATTACATGCACTGCCCAATGCACAATTTAATGCATTAATGAGTTTATTCATGGGTCTGTTGGATACATAAGCAGTTGTTGTGGAAACAGTTCAGAAATCAAGCCAAGCCACATATCAAATCACAGTAATACTGACAAGAACATTCGCTTATACATGCATCGGCAGACAGGGTGATTATTTTCCTTTGAGATTGAGCTGACACAGCATAAATGGATTACTACACTAATGGGCATGTAGCATTTGCATTAGTGTTGTGATCAATAAATCACTCACTGTTGTGTCTTTGTCTCCTTTCCCTCTCATTCTAGGTTATCCATGACCTCAGATTTACAGCATTACAGTTTCAGGATGCCGAATATAGGGTTCCAGAACCTTCCCCTCAACATCTACATTGTGGTCTTTGGGACGGCCATTTTCGTCTTCATCCTCAGCCTACTCTTCTGCTGTTACCTGATTCGGTAAGACCACCTGGCTCTTATGTGTGCGACAGCAAAATGTGTTTGAACAAGCCTCAAAATGCCATACATTTGCTTATTTATTCTCTTCAGTAAATTATACGGTTTGAAAGTCTTGATTTAATCCCTAAACATACAGGCTACACAATGGAACTGTTGTAATTAAACAGCTAACACACATTTAAGTGTTATTTGGAAGTAGATGAAAAAGAAAATTCACTCAGTATGAACAAGTGGGTGTAGTTGAATGTGTGGTGTAGAGTGTTGCCAACAGGACCAATGTGCGTCATTAAAGTCACAATTACACCACAAATATAAAAGTAACAATTATCTATGAACCTCATGTGCTGACACCTAACTGCCTTAGATTATGCCACAAATGTGTGGACTGGTGTTCATCTAGACAACTGCATAGTGCACCGTGCTCAAAGGTAAAATAGAAAATGGTAGGGAGTTTAAAAGACTTCTGTGAGAGGATAGAGGAGAGCTGACAGGTGGTGATGGAACGGAGAAGTTCTCTTTTATCTTCACACCGAGTTCGTACCATGTGAGGCAGCTTTTATCATGCTTACTTTGAAGACTGAACCAGCTCTGAATTTCAGAGCCATACCTTACTTATTAGTGGCTGTCCAATACAGAAGTAGAGATAAATCAGCAAGTTTTATTGATTTATACTTTTGCTAAGTACAGAGAATCTAATCCTACACATTAACACAGTTTGTTGTTGTTTGGTTCTAATATAGAGCTGTTTAGTTTCAGAATGGGTTCCCTCTGAAATTTTAGATATAGTTTTGGATTTATGAGTAAATTAAGGTTGGTTGTTAAAATTTAATTAAATAGACTTCTCTGTAAATGACACAGTCATACCATAATGTCATTTGCATTTATTAATTTATACTTTTAAAATACACATTTAAACCAACTGGTCTATAAACCATGCCTTGATGGCATGCCTGAACAGCTTTATTGCAAAGCAGCATTTTCTTAGGCATGGCGTGTTCAGCTTGTAAATATAGTCCTAATCTTCTAAAATAAAAATAAGTCATTTTCAAGACAACAAGGCAATTGTATAGCATTTTGAAAGAAAATCATGATTACTTGTCCCTGAAATGGAATTGTTACTTTTGATAGTTTTTGTGCATGCTCAATGCACTAACAAAGCTTGTCATGAAGAGTGAGAAGGTCAAAAAGCACAGTTTGGAGAAGCTAAGAAAACTGCTGACTTGATAATCTGAATTGACAACAAAAATCACTATTACAAACTAGCTTACCTGCTTGGAGTTGGCTTGTAGTTTCAATGTAGTTGGATATAAAGCTTCTTATTTTCACAATAACTGAACCCAAAGCAGCTTAGTTGCACAATCACAAATTGAGGTCGAATCCACATTGTGTCACCAACTTCCCTTTTGGATTGAGTGAACTCTACAGCAGCTGCTTCATAACTTAAAGGACGTTGATTTTTTTTTTTTTTTGTTACTTTTCAAGTGAGAATGAACTTGGCAGTGACAAAAAAAAACAAAAAAACAACCAAACTGAATACTGATGTTTTACAGCAAGCACATAGAAATGGGAATATGTGGCCCTTCATGAAGCTTAAGAAACTCCTTTTCCTTCAGCTACTGAGCTAATGAGTTGTCATCTAGTCAGATTTGTCCTGAGCACTGTTGCCATGTGGTCATTCCTGGCAGCAGAGATATTGAAGCTTTAATGTGCAATTGTGTAGCATCTCTTACATAAGACAGTGAGAACCAGCGGCTCTTATCCAAATTCACCCTAACCAGTGGGGAAGATGGTAAGTTCTTTCCCATTTATTATGTACTAGTTCTGTTTTATTTGACTTTGCCTCCCCCTTACTGCATTTACAAATGTTTACCTGTTTTGGTAGCCTTTTATAGTCTTAAATTAGTCATATCAGTAAAAAACACTGGATTCTTGAATGAAAAAACTGTCAGATTACCAAGTCATTTATAAAAAAGAGTTTGTATTTAGTCCAGATTCCAGGCTTCTAAAGATGCAGGCTCCCTTGCATGTAATTAGTTCACAAATATTCATGACTTCCTCATTAAATTAACCAGCAAATATTTGTCATGCCCCATGCACAAACAATATGTGGCCCCAGAAAAAGTATTTGGACACTTCAAGCGCACTTAAAAATGCATGACTGTCATTGCATTAATTAACAAAATGTCAAAATAGCTGGTATTTATTTTAGTTGACTGCACAAGCAAGATTTTCACTGTACATTACACCAGCAGGTGATAATGGAAATGGCAATAATCACAAATTCAGCAAGTACCAAAATAGTAGGCTCCCATTCTACCCAGCTGCATTTTACACTACATTTTTTGCGTGCTATTTTTCACCTCAACATATACCTTCAGCATCGCTGAAACAATAGAGCAGAGCGCAGAGTGCTTATTCACAGCTTTTTACATCATTTAACAGCTGCTTTTGACAGGGTGGAGATGTCCCTAATGAGAAGACCAGCATATGTTGTGTTTTGAATGCTGGTGACCAGCATGGGATTTCTGTGTGCTAGTGTACCAACTTGGACTAGTTAACGCAAAAATACAAATTCTGTCAATTATTCACCCTCATGTAATTCCGAACCTGTATGACATTCTTCCGTAGAACACAAAAAGTGTATTTTTGAAGAATATCCTGGCAATGAACATGAATGAACATTTCAGCCTTTTTTTATACCAAACTTACTGTATGGCTTTTTTTTTTCTTTGTGCACCATTTATGAAGCTTGAGAGCTCCAGTCCCATTTTATTGTGAATGCACTGGAAAAGGTGACCAGTACATTATTAAAAAAAAAAAAAACCTTCCCATGTGTTCCACAGAAGAAAGAGAGTGTGGGTTTTAAAACATGAGGGTGAGAAAAGATGACAGAATTTTAAATTTTGTTAAAACTAATCCTCCTATAACTTAACTAACTAGTTATGAATATACTGGTCCACCAGCTAGACAAGCATGAAATTGGTCTTTTCAGCAGGGATTTCAACGTAAAAGATGCTTTCCTTTTAAAGTCAAGATGAAATGATTGAGGTCTGGAGCTGGTCTCTTGACCTGTTTAGTTAAACTGCTATTTTATCTGGAAAATCACAGACTGAACAAAGGACCATCAAATTGTAGTCGTGCGACTCTGTGGACATTCACAACGTGAAAGACGAAAGAGTCGTGAGCTCGAGTGGACCTGTGAAGGACGTCGTGATTCAGAGCAAACAGTCAGCCGCACGTAGCAGCCATGCACCAGCTCCGACACACAAATGCGAAATGCCCCCGTGAATAGCGAACACACACTTGGAGAAGAAAACAGGCGGGTGCAGGAGTGTTTGTCTGGCGCGGTCATCCTCATGGGAAGAAAAACGAAATTCACACACACGCTTGAGATTGAGCACTCACTGTGACATACCGGTTATTTAACAATGCAGGGAAATGGTCATAAGGTGCTTTTCTACGTGATGAACTATAACACTACCCTAATAGCGCGTGAGCAATCATGAGCAATCAAGAGACAGTTTCTCTTGACCTAGCTGGCCTCAGAAACTAGACCAAAATACATTGTACGATTTTGGCCATGATTATGAATATCTTGTTATTTTGCATTCCCTTCACATTATTATTGTATTTTTGCTTTGAAAAACGAATGGTCTGTGATTACTTTCGCCCATCCACCACCGACTTCAGGTTCTATTAACACAAAAAATTGTTTTGCATTTTCCATAGTTTTCCTTTGTAAACATGCGGTAGGCGGACGTGTTTGACCATTGCACCCACATCTTTTTGCAGTGTCTTGCACATGACATGGCATTCTAACAATGCATCGCTTAAAAGGGATAGTTCACCCAAAAATGAAAATTCTGTCATTAAGTACTCACCCTCATGTTGTTCCAAACCCGTAAGACCTTCGTTCATCTTCGGAACACAAATTAAGATTTTTGTTGAAATCCGAGAGCTTTCTGACCCTCCATAGGCAGCAATGTAACTGAAATGTTCCCATACCCAGAAACATAGTAAGGACATCAGTAATATAGTTCATGACATCAGTGGTTCAACTGTAATTTTACGAAGTTACGAGAATATGTGCTGTGCCTTGTTTACATGCAGAGGAATGCACAAGTATGCGTTGTGGTACTCTCATTAAAGGCGGATGACGTGATTTGGAGAAGAAGAATTGTTAAATAAAGTTGTTATTTTTGTTTTCTTTGTGTACAAAAAGTACTCTTGTAGCTTTGTAAAATTAAGGTTGAACCACTGATGTCACATGGACTATTTTAATGGTGTCCTTATACGTTTCTGGGTCTGGGAACATTTTAGTTACATTGCTGTCTACGCAGGGTCAGAAAGCTCTTGGATTTCATCAAAAAAATTTAATCTTAATTTGTGTTCTGAAGACGAATGAAGGTCTTACGGGTTTGGAACGACACGAGGGTGAGTAATTAATGACAGAATTTTCATTTTTGGGTGAACTATCCCTTTAAGGTAAAAAAAAAAAGTTCAGTTAAAAAACAAAAAAAACATCAGTTTTTCATACCACTGCCCTGCGTTGTGCATTTTTAAATTCAAAAACAAATTCATTTGTATGGCCCTTTAGACGTCAACATTAGTGCCAGGGCTTTTTTGTCTTTGATTGTTTATGCATGCTAATGAGTCTAAACATAAAAGGGAGTATCTGCACCTTTACCTGCTGGTCTCTTTAAGAATGTCAGTTTCTCTCCTAGACTGTGCTGCCTATTTTACAGGTCCCTCTCACTCTGCTGCGAGAGGTTAAGCTTACTTGTAATGGAGGTAAATTTTACAATACATGTCTCCATTATTCTCATATCTATCCAGCTCTTTCTTCACTTGCTAAGTCTTTTCTGAATGTATTGTCTTTATTCAGCTATGTTAATTTTTGCTAAGGAGGTGATTGTAAGATACTGCAGTGTTTGTTGTGTTTATTTCCTTTGTACAGGAAGTAATATTGGTTGAAAGTATTATGTCATAACTAAATGAAAAGGGATTCAGCAAACAAACATTCAAAAAAGGCCAAGATAAAGCTATTGGACTAATACTAATGTTCTAACAGCCCTGCAGACATTAACAGTTCAGTGTTCACAAATTAGTGGCTAAACATAGTGTGTAAGGCGTTTGCTGGTTTCCTTTAAATAGCCTTTTTCTTACACTAGAGACTCTTCCATCATGCCTGATGCATTCCAGTTATTTTCCATCAGGGTTCCTCTCTCACTTTCCCTCTCTCTGTCTGTGACACACACACTTGCTCAAGATCAAAATAGTGTTAAATGTAGACTGTCCATTGCTTGGCTGCCTCCATTTCTTGAGTTCATGCCAAGAGTATCTGTATAGTTCTTTTAAAGGGTCTGGCTCCAGTCTGACAGTCACACTTCGTAAAGCATTGCAGCGGTGTGAGTAGGTAGTGCCTGGGCAGTCTGCTTCAGACAGGCTGTTAAAGTGTGGTCAAGCTTGATGAGACAATACAAGACCCAAACTACTCTAGAAAGACTCTAGAACTGGACGCAGCCAATGTCAAGAGGAAGTGGATGTCAATGTGTTTAAAAGTTGAATTGTGTGATTTAAGCTCAAATGTGGTGGATATAATGTATACTATGTATGTTCAGAATGACTGGAGTAATGCCTTATGGGTAGTGAAGGCTGCAATTTGTCAAATAATGACTGAAATATAAGATCCAGGCAAGTGTTGACCAAATACAGCTGGAATATAAACTGAGGTCCAGATGCAAATACAATGAATTTTTCACACCCATGAAACCCTGTGAAAACCATTGCCATTTAAAATGGCCTGTAATTTAGTATCATGGTTCAACTTGATGATCTTGGTTTTGTTTATATATAATTTGGTAATATCAATGTCTCTCCAGCACAGGTTTTTGAAAATGTTATGTCACTCTCTGAATTAAAACAAAGATTTATTTTGTCTAGGTTACGGCACCAGGCACACAAAGAGCTCTATGCATACAAGCAGGTGAGCCGCTGACTTATCTATTCAAACTCTCTACTGTATTATATAAATGTGCATTATTTACTGTATGATTCAACTTGGGTGTGAATGGGAGCGTCTCTGTTTGTTTCTCATGCAATTTCAAATGTTTAGTTTATAGACTGAGTTTCCAAATTGCAATTGAGAATTACTGTAAATGCATTTAATAACTTATTGTTATTTTTTGTTTACAGGTTATTCAGAAGGAAAAGGTCAAAGAATTAAACCTGCATGAGGTGAGTTTTCCCTTTCATTCAACTCTGCAGGATTGTTTTTGATTGATTGATTGATTGATTGATTGTTACTCATTTTCTGAGATGATTACATGATGTATATTGGCCAGAAAGTGGTTTTTTTTTTCGTATTAAAAATGTGCTGTGATGTAGCACATGAAAATTAAAAGACATCTTACAGCAAAAATCATTAATGAAAGTAAAAAGAGGTATATACAAGTAATATAGTAATAAAAATTAATAAAGCAATGTAAAAAAGTAATAAGGTAAAATACGCTATAAAAAACATTTTGGAGTATGTTTGGGGAAATAAAAAAAAAAATATATATATATATATATATATATATCTCTTGAGTAGTGATTCATCGATTAAATGGCCAAAACTTGAACATGTTTTGAGTGTTGGAAAGACAACTTTATTTTTAAGAACTGCTTTATTACAGCGTTTTATATAGTAAATGAACCAATTCAAAAAGAAGTGATTAATTGATTCAAATTCTGGTATTTTGTGTATTTTTGTAATAAAATGTTTAGATAAGCACTGTTATTTATCACTGTCTGACATTACACTTGGTCATGAATATCAGTTACATTGTACCTTTCAGTGGTTACAGAATACAGACTGTTAAACCTGAGCTACCCTTTGCCCTGAACATAAGGACCTTTTACAGGATTTGTACTGTACGCTCTCCATGTTTAATAATAGCATGAGTCTATTGCGTGTTTAACCTTCACCGAGATGGTTTGTACATGACCGTGTTAATAGGCCAGTGTCCTGACTTCATATGTGAGTGCTAATGAAATGTTAGCGACAATATTGAGGTGTGAGGACACCAGAGCTCTTGTTGAATCCTCAAATTGTCGTGGAATATCTCGTAGCCCTTCACTCCCTTCCTGTATCTCGTAAGAGTTCATTGTCGAGGAATAGTTTCATTTTAAGGTTATTGTACTTTTCAGTATTATGGCTAAAGTTAGATATTCCTCTACAAAGAGCAGGCAGCTACTGTATATGTGGATGTGCATGAATACAAAACAAATTACAGCATTGTGTTGTGCTGAACTGAGTTAGGCTATATTTTGTTAGAAAACTTGGCTTCATGTGTCACATCTGGCTTTTTTCATTTGTATTTGATGCGACAGCAGTTGCAAGTTGTATGCATGATACAAGTTTGTTCAACTGCAACACAATGAAAATAGTAACATTTTATCTTGGAAAGGAACACAAAGTTCTCCCAGCAGCTAGTCTAATACTAGAAGTGCTAGAGGTGTCATCAATATTAACAGCACTGTCCGTGATGTTATATTAGTCATATCTTTTGAAATAGCACCTGAAAACGGTCAGAAGTGCCAAGCAAATGTCAGCTGCACTTGTAACCTCAGTTTTTATGGTATTTCTTCATGTTTTGTTGGACTTTCTGCACCAGCAGTCATGCCACTAATTTGTCAGACTCAAGGTTTTATATTTGATATTGATTTTTTCACAAATAGCTTTGAGGAAACACTTTCATCCATGAGCCTGATACTGGCTGGGTTTTTTTTTTCAAAAGATGTTTTATAGTTTAAACACCATTTACAGGTGCTCCCATCGTTTTGTTAGACAACATTATCTGTTAACCAGGCTGCTTTGATTATGCTTTAAGCGACCAATAATGTTTTAGTACCCTCAGCTATTTTTAACTGTATTTAAATCCATTCCACCATATAAAATTCTAAAGATTTTACTGCAAAATTACAGCATAAATTGTGCAGAAAAAAGTGGTAATTTTCTTTATTTCTAATGTAAACTACAGCATATAGGAGCATTGTTTATAATGACTCAACAAGTTTAACAGGTCAGGGTAATTATATTTTTAAAAATTGAATTTCATGTTTATGACTATTTTCATTTTGTCCTTTCAATTTGGTTTAGTTTTCGCTTTGGCACTATTAGTTTTTGTTTACTAGTTTAGTATATGTATGTATGTACGTATGTATATATATATATATATATATATATACACACACACACACACACACACACACACACACATAAACATCATGTCTAACTATAAAAATTATTAAACTTTTTTGACATTTATGTAACTAAATAAAATAAAGCTAAATAAAATCATAAAACTAAATAAAAACGATATATGTGATTTCTAATATATTATATAAAATATTAATTATTATTGTACATTTAAAATGATTCAAAATTACATTCAAATGTATTCATATATATATATATATATTATCTTAAAAATAAAATGCATTTGATAAGCAGGTTCAAGTATGTTATTTTAGTTTCAGGTTTTTTAATGTTATTTTTGTTTAATAATTTTTTGTTTGTTTTTGCAAACAACTTGCAACTTGCAATGGTTTTGCAAGTTTTTTTTTTGTGTTTTTTTTTTTTGCATAACGTGTGGTTTGGGGATTCTTCAAGCCAAAGCATATACTTATTAGACAACGCATTCCCACAAACAGGTTTCTAGAGGGCATTCGTGGAACTGAAAATAAATGGGTCAGTAGTCCCCTCGCCTGTACTGGTAAGTCTGGTTTGCACTTGTATGCGTGCTCAGACAAGAAGGAAGGTCTTACATAAAGCGGTGGGGCCGAGCTACAAGCTGATTGGACCCTCTTTCCTGTGCACACAAGCCAAAGGGGGGAAAAGCAATGTTATGATTGTATACCACAGGCATGAGAGATTTTCACTAGCATAATTAGAGGTTACAAACGTTCAGCACAGCCATGCAAAGCTACCATTTCCCCCCGAGAACATAGATGGTTCTGAAATATCATAAACTATGATATTACCATAAAATATAGTTCACCAAAAAATATCATTCTGTCATCATTTTCTCAGCCTCGTTCCAAATCTGAATGACTTAGAAATCCAGTGTTGTCCACCACTGACTTGCAAAATATCTTCTTGAAGGTGAGCAAATGATGACAGAAAGTTTTTGGCTGAAGTAATGCTATGAATTGTTCTCCACTTGATCCAGGAATTGATGAGTGTCCGACCACAGCATGTAGCCTCGGCTTTTAAGTTCAACCCCCCATGAGTGTGAAAGGTGATCTGGCTATAGTTGACTTCATGAGCAGAATTATACAGCCTCACACTGCTCTATCACCTCGTCCTTGAGCTTACATAAGATACAGCGCCAGGCGAGTGAATATAATCTCAGCTCTCGAAACATTAAGTACCCTTCCAATAAGGTGATTATATACACAGACACTTTATACGGTAGAGCTTGTGCACGGATGATTGATGTGCAAACACACTGGTGCAGAAATCTAGCATATGTGCCAGACGGTTGCCAAGATATGGATCCTCAGATGGCAACCAGTGAGAACAGCACGGACATAAATATCACAGCATCAGTGAGTAAGATTTATTGTGCGTAATTCCACTTCAGTGAAACGGTCGGAAATAAAACTGTGGTTTGTGTTTTATTGTACTTGTGCATAGCTGCAGCTCTCTAGGTGAGAGATCAAACACATGAGAAACACAGTGTGAAATGGACCGAGCAATACTTATTTCCGTTTGGTAAGAAAGACCCCGGGGAGTCACGTTTGAACTGCAGAGGTGGTCCTTTCAATTCAGAAGCCTAGCAGACAGGAGGAAAAGAGGCC